TTAGACAACAAAATGTGGAAGCGTTCTGTTCCCAGCACCTTGGTAAAGATATCCGCTAGCTGTGAGTTAGTGTGTATCTTCCGTGGCTCGAGCTCAGCAAAGACGACCCGCTCACGGACAAAGTAGCAATCCATCTTCACATGTTTCGTGTGCTCGTGGAAGACTGGATTGGCAGTAATGTGGAGAGCAGCCTGGTTGTCACAGTAGAAAATGATGGGAGCAGACTGAGGTGCCCGAAGTTTAGTGAGAAGAAACTGAAGCCATAACACTTCACTAGTACCACTTGCCATGGCGCGATATTTCGCCTCTACCGAAGACCGAGCAACTACTCGCTGCTTGTTAGCATGCCAGGAAACAGAAGAACCACCCAAATGAATGTTGTATCCAGTCATAGAGTGATGGGTTGACTGACAACCAGCCCAGTCTGCATCATAATAAGCTGTCAGAGTCAAAGAACCAGTGGAAGGCAAAAGAATACCTTGACCAGTGCATTCTTGAGATAACGGAGGACACGATGAACGACAACCACATAATCAGGATTGGGTGCTTGAACAAATTGACTCAAGATGCTTATGGAGTAAGCAATGTCTAGGTGAGTAATGGTGAGATAGAGAAATTGCCCAATGAGACGTTGATAAGAGCTGACATCATCAACACAATCATCCATCGGAATCTGCCAAAATATCCAGTGTATACTTGCGCTGACACAAATCGATCCCATCTGGTGATCGAGCAACTTCAAAACCCAAGAAGTACTTGAGTGGCCCCAAATTCTTAATGCTGAAGCAATCATGAAGTTCTTCACGCGGGCAATGCACTCAGGATTATTACCCGTTATTACAATGTCGTCCACATATATTAAGGCCACATATATCACGATAGCCATGATTATCATTCAGGATTATCCCTAGACCGTGAAGTCGGACAAAACAACAACAACACTTGCGTTTTCAGCCAAGATCACGGTCTTGCCTCCGATGTCACCGCCGTGAACAGTGACCGTGATGTCGACACTTTCGGGTTGTATAAAAGACAGCTGCGGGGAGAGAGAAATGAGAGCTGGTTTTTCGAGGAGAAATTGATTCTCTCTCTAGGGTGTCGACCCAAAATACGAAAGGGGAGTTCTAGTGAGGGAGAGAGTTCTTGAGTGATCTTTGAGCTTAATTGAAGGCATTGATCAAGCTTGAAAGCAAGGAATCAAGCTTAGAAGAAGAAGAAGATATGGTGCTCCAACTTGTAACTTCTCTCTTCTCTCTCTCTAGAAACTCACCCTCTTCTCTTGGGAATAAGAACCCTAGGTCTAGGTTTTGGTTTTATGTTGATGTATATGAAAAATTCCATGTTTGATTGATGTTTTTACTTAATTGATGATGTTTTCAAGAATGGCATGAGTTGGGTTTCCATTTTCATCTATTGAGCTTTTGACCTAGGAGGAAGAAAGTCCCCTTAAAGCCCACTATTTGCGTCTTCAGGCCACTCCTATCGTATATTGTACGGGTAATCCCCGAGGGAGTTGATTCAATCTACTTCCTAGCAATATATGAAACCCGAGGTTGAATAGAGCACATACTCATCCGGGTAATCCCCCAGGGAGTTGATTCGATCTACTTCAGGCAAATCGCAACGAGGACGTTGAGTCGCAAAGAGGGTGCATCTAACACCGTAGGTAAATCCCAAATCAACAAAGTAAGGAACATTCTAGCCTTAACTTACAAGACGCGGTTTAAAGGTGCATATAACACCTTATAAAAACCTCAAATCGATAGAGTAAGGAACATTCTTAGCTTAACTTACGAGACGTGCTTATAATGAAGCATGAAAAGATCCATGACCTCTTGGAAAGCCACGATAATGCAAGCAAAAGCAATACTGTGTGAGATACATTTAAAGCGAACAATACTCCTACAATATATAGTACACTTTTGTGTACTTTTCTCCATTTTGAATTTTATGCTCTCTGCTTAAGTTTAGGTAGGCATATGATAATTGACATAATTAAGAATTAGGGTTAATAACACTAGGAAACCCGAACTATTAACTTTGTGTCATTTGTGTCCTAAAGTATTCGATATGACAATTGTGTCCTAAACTATTTCTCCGTTAGAGTTGACCGGTGTTGACCGTTAGTTTTTAACAGAAAATCCAGTAAGCGCTGATGTGGCATCTGACGTGGAATTTTTATTATTATTTATTTATCCTTATCCATCGAGGCTTCTTTCCTTCTTCTGCTTCCTTCCCCCTTTTCCTTTCTTCTTCTTCTTCTTCTTCTTCTTGCATCCGTCGACGAGACTTCTTTCCTTCTTCTACTTCCTTCCCCCTTTTTCCTTTCTTCTTCTTCTTCTTTTCTTCTTCTTGCATCTATTGACGATTTAATCGTCATCAATCCCCAGCCGACTCCCGCGACCATCAAGCTCCTTTCTTCACCCCCTTCGATCCTCGCCCCACGACATCAACAACAACTTAGATGCCTGCCTTCCCCAGCGAACGCGCCACCCCGCCAGAGCGCCGGGTCGGAGTGGCGAACCACCTCCCCATCTGAGCAAAACCCAACCCGAACAGGCTGTCATCGTGTCGTGGCGGTTCGAGCTCGACGAGAGCTCCCTCTACCTCCAACTCCGCCACGGCTTCTCGGCGGGAACAAAGGTCTGGTACATCGGCTGCCTGATACCTGAAATCGAATCGAAACATCATGAGGAGATTTCCCAGATCTACAATTAGGCTGCTCATAAATCGGGGGAGAGTGTTCTTCAACACATAGGCTGCTCGGAATCGAAACTCGAATCCAGATCTACAATTAGGCAGGCGAGAGTGAGAGAGGTAGGGGAGGAAGGCAATCGAGAGTGTTCGGCGGGTCTTCAATACATAGGCAGCCTTCATCGCCTGATGGGAGCCGCTGCTCCATCTTCCTCCTGTCTCTTCAACACCAATGTCGTCCGGCGGGTCTCCGAGTCCGGGAAGGCCCTGTTGATTGTGTTGTTGTTTTCACAGAGGATGAAGAAGGGTCTCCCACCAGCGCAGTCGATTTGGAATTGGCGGAGGGAGGAGCAAGCTTGTTCAAAGTTTGAGCGGCTATGGTGAATCTGAGATGAGGAAGAAAGGGATTAGCTTTAATTTTTATTTAATTTTAATTTAAAAATAATAATCTGATGTGGCAGCTGACGTGGCGCAGATGTGGCTGCCACATATGTGCCATGTAACCAACAATCAACATTTTCTGGTTGACCGTTTGGTCAACCGTTATCTATAATGGTCAACGAAATTGTCAGGACGTAAATGACACAAAACTACCAAACGTTGGGACACAATTTTCATATTGAATACTTTAGGACACAAATTGCACAAAGTTAATAGTTCGGGTTTTCCAGTGGTATTAGCCCTAAGAATTAAAAAGATATATTTATATAAAAAAAGTAGACGTGGAAGTTTTCATTTGTCACTACCCTTTGGTTCCAAACTGTTGAACTTCTTTTTTTCTTCTTCAAAAGTATCTTATTATAATAAAGTTTGATTTTTATTAATATTCTTAATTTTCAATCATCCTATCAAAATCTGACACATGTCACTTTCTTTTCACTCTTTTCGTAATTCCCCATTATCTTTATCGGTTCATATTTTATTTATTTAATGATATTCATTTTGATATATTTTAAAATAAAATAGTTTATCATCTTGAAGATGTGGTCACTGTCGAGCGTTAAATTACCATATTATAGTGTTTCAAAACCATAACAACATAGTATCACTATATCAGTTTTCACACCGGAAAGGTCATGGTATAAATTTATATCATAATGATATATTTATGATACATCCATGTACATGATACTGTCAAGTGCATGAAGAAATTATTGGTGTCGTAACAAATTTTATTTTAAAGTATACAAAAAAGTTCATTTAAATTTGTTATCACAATTAAGTTGAATATATTGGATAACACATAACGAAATTAATCAAGTAGGTTAGTGCTCGGAGCGACAAACTCAGAAATAGAGATATTGAAGATGTTTGTGTTAGCTTAATGTTAAGGTATATACTCATGTGCTTAATCGTTATTAATTGTTTTGAGATTTACTTCTTACAAAGCAAATTATTTTGGTTTGACTTCTTGATTAAGATTAAGTTTATGGTTAAATTTTTGCATTATTAATTATTTGGAATAATATATATCAAATTCAAGATTTTTACTACTTTCATATCTTAGGAAATTACCAACAGTATATTTCATTTACTAACAAAATACTAAGTTTATTCTACGGAATATTTTAATGGTTGCATCTCATATATTTTGGGCTACGTGATGTTATAGTGTAAAGTTTAATGTTAAGAGTTCAAGAATTAATAGTTTAGACTATATGATTTCACTATATTGACTAGAGAATATATGGTTAATAGTATAGGGTGCAGCAAATTTCATTGAGTTCTTGGGGTATAGATTGAGATGAGAAAATTTGGAATATAATTATTAAGAGGATGTTTATCATAATTATTCTTCGAAATTTTTTCTTATTTGGAGTTTGAAAAATATGGGTTCAAAGGTTCATGTATTATATGTAGGCTGTGAGTCGATATTATAATTTAGACATGTATTATTCTTTCTCGAAAGATAGAGTTGAGAGTTAGTGTTTAAAGGATAATATTGATTTTGTCTAATTTTTTGTTTTGTTTACGATGCGATTTTATGGTTGAATAACATAACTATTGTTCAAACATTTATTTAGTTTTCATGATTTAAGTTAACTTCGAAGATGACTAATGAGATTAAAAGATATAAACTATAGATTAATAAAAAAATATGTAAAAATTATTTTGTTATACTCACTTCAACTTAAAATTCCAGCCAAATGGCCGAATCAAGAGCTAGTATATAAAAATTGGAGGAATGTTATTGTTGAGTTTTTTTGTAAAATATTGTCGATGAGTTAATAACACTATTGATTGACAAATTCCGATGAATGGGATAGAGGCACGATCCAAAATCACGACTGGCCGGGAAATCTCAGATGGATGTCATAGCTAAAGAAAATCTAACCGGCGTGCTTTTGGCATTGGTGTCTAGTGGATTCATCGGGGCTAGCTTCATCATCAAGAAGAAAGGTCTCAAGAAAGCCGCTGCCACCTCCGGTGTTAGAGCAGGTTATTTGCTTTTCCCTTTTGGTAAATTTCCTTTCTCTCCGGTCGCGTTTAGAGAAGTTTCCTTGCTCATCTAAACTATAAATTTCGCAGGAGTTGGTGGGTATTCTTATCTCTCAGAGCCTCTATGGTGGTTTGGCATGATTACCAGTAAGTTTCGCCCTTTTCGTCAGTTTCTTCTTCTCTGCTTCATGGGATTGACTCTATTGAATTTGTTTGCTTATTCTTGGGTGAAGTTTGATAACTTGAGAGTATGATTGTGGATTTTGGATCCAGTGATTGTAGGAGAAGTTGCAAACTTTGTTGCATATGCATTTGCTCCGGCTGTTCTGGTTACTCCACTTGGTGCACTAAGTATCATTGTTAGGTGACATATTTCATTCATTTAAGTATTTTAGATTTTTTTTATTTTGGTAAAAATAAATCATTTGGAGTTTGGATTTATGGTCATGTACTTGTAGTGCTATCCTTGCACATTTCCTCTTGAATGAGAAGTTGCATGCTCAAGGAGTTGTGGGTTGTGTAATGTGCATTGCTGGATCCGTTGTAGTTGTGATTCATGCACCAGAAGAGCACCCAATCAATTCTGTTCTTCAATTGTGGAATATGGCAACTCAACCCGGTAATTACTTCCCTTAAATTCTTTCCATCTTTTATGCATGTTTACTCTGTTATTCACTAACCCAACTGTCCTCTTCTTGTAGGTTTTTTGTTTTATGTTGCCTCAGTGATTGTGTTGGTTTTCATTCTTGTCTTCCTTTACGCTCCACAATATGGGAACTCAAATGTGTTAGTTTTCACCGGCATTTGTTCGTTGATGGGTTCTCTATCGGTAAATCATTTCAACTAGTGTTGGTACTTTGATATCTTTTGTGTGCTAGCTTTATGTTTAATCTCCAGCAATAATCACAACTTGAAAAGAACAAAAAAACATTTTGCAATATAATATATACTTGTTTGAGCTTCTGTGTTAACTATTAGTTGTAATGATGTTGATTGTGGAATCAAGTTCATGTGTTGCAAACAATCTTATATGATATGTTGGAGTGAGTTTCATAAGGTGACTTTCTACTATGGAATAATAACTACTAAAGCTTAATTGTTCCATTTTAGAGTTGTTTTTGTTTTGTGCTTATCTTTCAGGTGATGAGTGTCAAAGCACTTGGAACTGCTTTAAAATTGACTTTCGAAGGGAAAAATCAACTGCTTTACTCAGAGACATGGTTCTTTACATTCGTTGTGGCCATATGTGTCATCACGCAAATGAATTATCTCAACAAGGTGAATTGGACTGATTGAAGGAAATAAATACTTAATTTTATTATTCATTTATATTCCTTTAACTTCGTAATCTTGCTTTTATCCTCATAATCATGTGCTAAAATAATGACACACTTAAAGTCATAAGTATGTAGGCTCTTCCAGGTTAATTGAGATCACTTTGGAACACTATTACTTACACTGTACATGTCGCTGGTTCTTTACAATATTGTGGTATGCTTATTTGGCAATGTAAATGGTGAAAGTTTGAACTAGTTTTAGTTCTGCATAACTGCTGGTGATATCTGCTTAGATTTCAAGCCCTCGGATACCTTACCACTTTGGTATTTTGGCTTCTCAAAGTATAATTTTGGTTAAAAAGTGGAGTTCCTAAAATTGGGTGTTCAAACATAATGTTACCGTCAAATATAATCAAGTTTAGGGACATTCAATGAAAAGGGACTTTCATATTTTTCTTTTGAAGAGAGCTTAGACATAAGTACTGCTGATTCAAAGGGAAAGAAGAAGTATCGCCAGATTAAAATAGCACTATTGATGATAACTTATCCAACAGGAGACTCAAGTGTCCTATTGAGCTACATGACGCTTTGTGAAGTTGATGTCTTAAATTAGTTTCACCAATTGTACTTTGCTAATAGAATGCTTCTGCTTTTCCAGGCTCTTGATACATTCAACACTGCAATTGTGTCTCCAATTTATTATGTCATGTTCACTTCACTTACAATTCTTGCTAGTGTCATCATGTTCAAGGTGCATCTCCATTTACTATGACTTGATCCATGTCCTTAAAAATTCGGATCTATACTTGTATTTTCAGACAAGTAGTTAACTATACATCTTGTTTTGAAATTAAGAACCAACATTCAATGTTTTGTTTCAGGATTGGGCTGACCAGAATGCAGGAAATGTGATATCAGAAATATGTGGCTTCATTGTAGTACTCTCTGGAACCATCCTGCTACATACTACTAAGGACTTCGAAAGGAGTTCATCATTTAAAGGTTCACATATAGTTCTCTGACTCTCTTGGGTTTCCTACTTAATTTAACTTTCTTTTATTTTTATCCTAAACTAATTGTGCAATATGCCCTTTAAAATTTAGGTGGCTATGCATCATCAATCAACTCTGGAGGCTATGCACCTTTATCTCCAACATTAGCTACTCGGCTCTACAATGGTAGCAGTGAATTTACCACACATGATGAAGAAGATGCAATGCTTGCTGACCAGATATCCTTGCAAAGACAAGGGTAGCATTAGAAGCCCCATGCTTTTGAAGAAGGCTTCATGCTTTGGTTTAGTTAGATATGCAGCAACTACTTGCAATCCAACGACCTGGCAGTGGCACTGACCTATCTCTGGAAATTTTTAGACAATGCAGATTGTGTTTGAGGTAAACGTGGTTAAATCAAGTGATTGCTTGCCAACTTAGAGTGGTATGGGTTTAGTATATCAATAGAAGGTTATCATCTTCAATTTTTTTTGCATGATTCCCATGTGCAGCCGCTGCAGGATTGTGATGTCACAAGAAATATAGTTCTATGATTCGAATTTGTGGACTTCTGAAGATGATGGTGGGGGAGCCCTTACATTGTTTCTCTAAACTTCCAAAAGAGAAATGAGAAGCATGTACGACATTGTTGCTTTACCATCCAGCTTTGCGTGGGAGCTTATTACAACATTTGTTTCTCTAAGGTTGGTAGGTTTCACATTATCATTGTTCCGTTGTTAAAATATTTGAGTTTGTATGCAAGCATTAATTCCAAAATTATATGACGAGGCCAAGTTGTAGCCTTGTTTGAAAAGTCGATCATAAGTGCGACATTTATCATTTTACAAACTTTGGTACTCCAATTATGTAATACTATTGAGAACAAATTCTTAAATGTCCCTTAGTTGAATGGGGATCATGCCAACGATAATATTATCGTGCAAATTCTTACATACTCTTATAGTTGAATCGAGACATGAATCACAAATACCTCTTCTTAAAGATTATTAACTTCATATGTTTGCATTTAAATAGGAGGTTCTTGGTCATCTTGTAAAGAAAACAGACTCATAAGTCTCCTTGATCAATAATCAAAGGGTCAAAGAGTTCATCCTTGCGTGATCTTTAAATACGAGACTTCATTTATATAGTCAAGTCAACACGCCTAGAAGCATTAGAATGCCAATTGTGTTGTTCAATCTTCTTATACCCAATGTTATACAAATCATCAAGATTTAAGTACATAGTTTCTGCCAAGTTCCGTGTAGGGCTTCAAATGAGTCCAGCTGGATACGAGCGGCTCGACATTCGGTTTGGGAAGAAAAATATTTCGACGCTCAGCTCATTTACTTTCAATGGAGCTTGAAGTAAGCCTTGTTCGGCTTTTAAGGCTCGTGAGCAAGCTTGAGGCAATAGCTTATGGAGCTCGACTAATGAGCTAAATTGTTTTAAACTATGTGCTGGGTTAATAGTATGGCTAGCGAGCCACCTCAATTAGCAACTTATGAGCAAATCGATTAATAACTTATTATCGGTTTGTTGATAATTTATCATTGGTTTGTTGGATTATATATATCTCACCACATTTGATGTTTAAGAATTTGATCACGTGATAAAGTAAGAGAAACTATATTTCATAGATTGTTCACATACTAATTACTATTAAACAACATGATATCAACAACTAAATTTATGAACAAAATGAAAAGATACATTAGCTTGAGTCAAAATGGCAAAAAGACCCAATATCAATGTTTCTAACAATCCATCTTACTTGTGACACCTACAAGTAACGGCTTTTTGTTTAGCTCCGGAGCATACTCAAAATTTTCGAAAGAAAAGGATTAACTTGCTCAAACAAACTGAAATAACACTGTTCTCCAATCACAAATACTGAAAGTAAACTGTCATACCTTAAAACAAGCTCTAACACTTTGGCAAACCTTAAACCATAAAATCTTAATCTCCAGACTCTTACTCATACACGTTAAGCATTATAGCTAAAAGCCTACGCGACTTCTTATTGGGATACGTTTTTTACATCTTCAATGACACTCGTACTATCCTCCTCTAGTTGGTTGCTCTCTAGTTGGCTCCAATTTGTGGTGTCTTGGCCTATTTTACGCTAGGTTGTGTTATTTTGTCATATTTTAGGTCCTAGTGAGTAAAGGGAGGCATAGGTGCAAGTTTCGAGTCAATCGTAGGTCGTTTGGTCACTCAAAAGCCTCTCAAAAGTGGAGCTGAGAATGAAATACGTACAGACTCCCTAAAATTACGGTCGTAATTCAAAAATTACCGTCTGTATTCCCTAAATTACGACCGTAATTCACAAATTACTACCAGTATTTTTGATGCCGAGCCTTGTGATGGCTCAGGTACAAAATACGGTCAGTATTCCCAAAAATACGGTCGTATTTCTCAGTGTCTAGCCCGTAATTTCACTGCCGAGAGGAGCCTTGGATGCACTGAGACTTAACCAAAACGCGCGTTTTGGGCAAAATACGGGCAGGGAAGAATTATGGCTGTATTTCTGCCCGTATTTAACCCAGAATCGAGTTGAAAGGGGCAGATTCGAGCCAGAGGAAGGGGATACGAACTTTCAGAGCAAAAACAGAGTCCTAGAGAGAGGAAGTGCGAAGAACAAACCCTATGAGTGATTTTGGAGCTGGTTTTCATTAATCAAGCTTGGATTTCATCCTTGGAGTGAAGATTACCATCCCAGAGCAGATTCTTCCCATAGTAATGAGTATGACTGCTTTGTATTCTGATTTCCTCTCTCTCTCTTTATGGAGTAGAACTCTCTCTCACTTGGATATGAAGAGCCCTAGTTCCATGTGTTAGGGATATTGATTGTAATGACTTTTGGATTGATATACTGCTTGATTATAATCGATTGATGCATGATTCATTGAGTCAATTGAAGCCTGATCAACTTTTCTTGATTTCTGCTGCAACCTGAGATAGATAGAATCTTATTAGGTTGTTAGAGCTTCTTCAATCGGTAGTAGTGAATTGATTATACGAGAGTTAGTCGATTCACTGCTTTGTACTGGAATCCAATTCCACTAGTGGAGTTCTGTGTTAATTGCCTCAGCGTACTATCCCGGTGAAGACTAGTCGTCTGACGGGTAGTCTGTCTGAGAGGGCTTGGTCAGCTTAAGAGATTCCAAACTACTGTCGGATCTTCCGCAGTTTAATCAACAGTAAATCAACCAAAGGAAATTACAACTTTGACTTAACTAAGGAGCTAGGAGGACTCATTCCCGAGTGACTCTTCCCTTGCTTAGGAACTTCGAACCATTTCCTGCTTTCTTACTGCTTTTGTTTGCAATCCTCTCACTACACTTAGTCTCGCTAGATAACAGGTAGTCACGGAGTAGGTAGTAGATCTAGGTTATTGTAGAAACGTGAAATTCTATTACTTTAGCATTTTTCTTTTCTTTTCCACCCTTGTTTTTCACTTGGGTGTTTTGTTTTTGTTGGTGCAGATCTGAAACATGGATCCTCATGGCTTCTCCAACCATTGGGGGTATCAACCACCATCCGTGTGGTATTAACTCGAGACTTCCTAGAGCAATCAAGGAGGAGAAGACTATGGATTCGGGTTTCAGTACCAACCCCCCTACTGCGCAGGACAACTAGACCTTTGGTAACCTTAAGAACAATCTCCTTTTCAAGAAGAATTCCTCCCACAACCAGAGGGGTCATCTGAGTTGGAGTTGGCCATGGCGGCCTTCACGGGCCACTCTGTAGGGCCATGCTACACTCCACTGGCATATCCGAACAAACAATTGAGGCTTCTCGTGGAGCAGTTTGCTCGAGACACTGAGGATTCATGCTCCAAGATGGATCTTCAGATCCAAGCCCTTTGCCCTTCTGATCCCTCATTTCTCCATGAAATGGAAGAGGTTGTTCAGTGCTCAGCAAAGCAAACAGAGTGGGTGGAGCAACATGAGGATGACGAAGGCTATGAGGACATTGTGGAGCAGATAGAAGTTGGCGCGGAGAGCTCCCCTGATAATCATGATCAAGAATGTCATGTGGTGGAAGATCACACCTTTCCCCATTTTTGCTCTAACAGGATGGGCCCGGGCGAGGAGATGCAAGATGATCTCATTGAAGATATTGCTTGGCGACTTGCTCTCCAATCTGTGCTGGAAGAAGAAGAGCGAGAAAGGGTGAGGAAAGAAGTTGTGGAGGATGACAGAAGTGAAGCAGAAGGAGTTCTTGATCTATTCCAAGGGGAGAGACCACATTCTGAAGAAGGAAGGGGGTTGAAGAAGCAAGTGGTGTCCAGGCTGAGGATGAAGTTGAGGTGGAAGAGGCTTGCACCGGCCCTATGCTACATGTGATATCTCCACCAAACTTCGAGGAGCTACTTAGCAAGGACCCATTTGCAGGGTCTCTTTGCCAAACCAAGACCACATCAACATCGATCCCTCTTGGTGGATGCAATGGTGGTCAATCAATGGTATCTTATCTGGTTTGGGGCAATGAGACAAGAGAAGATGCGAAGGAGTTGTCTCGAGTGTGGAGACTTCATCTTCCTCAAGAGCACGAGCTATCATCATCACCTATCATACCAAATGCTTGTGACTTGAGACTCCACATCATCGACGAGAACTTCAACTTCAAGGAGGTTCTGGGGTGGACCGAAACTTAGGAGCCAGTGTCCAGCTAAAGACGTAAAAGAAGCGCTTGTGAGGAGACATCTCCACCATGGTTTGTTTTTCTTTTGTTTGTTTGTTTTTTCACTCGGAACTATGGTTTCTATCACCTTGTGTATTTTGATGACTCTAGCTCTGTGCCTTTGGACTGGTCCCCTTCCAGTCCCCTGCCCTTGACCAGTCTGCCTTCCAACCACCATTCTCGATCGTCATTTCCCGGTCCTACTCCATTGAGGGCAATGTCGAACTTAAGTCTGGGGGAATTATTGGTGCTTTGTATTTATTGGAGCATATGTTTATGTGCTTGGAGCCTAGTCCGCTGTCCAAATCTAGAGATTTGAGGGCTCCAAGCACTGATGTTTGCATATCATATTGGCACTGTGGTTTATGTGGTGAATTGAATGGTTGTTAATACTGATGCATGAAAACTTGATTGTGACTAGGACAACCTATAATGATGACTGAGACGTGCAGTAAAGTTGTGTAGGGGTTCAGTTTTTCAACTGTTTGGTTACCAACTGTAACTTGGATTGATCACTTATTTTCTACAGTCGTTTATGCATCTAGTTCATGGAATCAGAATGCGAGATAGAGAATATAGGTAGCCATGTGAGATTTGAGCATGCTCGTTTCTTTCGTGTGTGATAGATCCCTCTTCCATTATGTGTAGCATTCACGTTGTCACTAATTAGGATGATGGAGGCATAGGAATAGCCCACGACCAAATTGACTGTCCTGGTGTATCATACCCCCTAGTCATCCCCTTTGAGCCGTGTAACTTTCCTTCTTTCGGTCTACAATGAAAAATCACCGTTTTGCATGTCATAGAGGTTTCACAGAGTGGTTTTTGCATGTTCTCTGTTGTTTTTGCTAGAAATAATATGAGGGTTGGAGGTAGTTCTTAAAAGTTGGGCATGTGTTTGAAAAATGTGCAGAGGTGGTGGTTCTCTCAAGAAATGAAAAAAATAAAGAATAAAATGAATAAAAGCAAAAGAGAGCCACTACCCAAAAAAATCTGAATCATGCCCATTTGGTGGTGTATCTTAGTAGCCTGGCTTAGAAATACTAACACGTTGTGATCTCCTTCACCCTTGTGCTCTAAAGAACTTGATCAATGCAGAATGGTAGAAAGTAAGTAATTGGTTTGAATGAATGTTGCTGTGTTTGGTTTTGGAACTGTGGAACCTTGTGTTATGAATACTTCCACCACCTAAAAAGGCATTTCCCCCATGTCCAATACCCTAGCCAGTCATTTGAAAC